AACCTGTCTGTTAAGTCTGGTTCACACTGGCCTCGGGCAGTTGAAGTCAGTGCTGTGGGGGGCCCAACCAGGCGAAGAAATACCAAGGAAGCCTTCCTAGAGGAGGAAGGACAGAAATGAGTCAGTGAGGACAGGAGTTGCCCAGCAGGAGTTCTGGCAGTAAGCAAACTCTGCAAGGTTAGGAGAAAGACACAGGCAAACACTCTCTCTTTATTCATTCAACAAATATTTGTTGAATGCCTACTACACATACGGATGCTGGGGAGACAGGAGTGACCAAGGCCACCCAAGTCCCTACACTCGTAGAGCTGCAGTGATAAAACAGAAAATCAGTGTGTACGTCAATAAGATTGTTTGATAGCGTATGTTATGAAGAAGATCCGACGGGGCAATGTGACAGATGAGAGGGGTTTGGTGAGGGCTGGGGGGCCACATGGGATGGGTGACCTGGGGGGCCGCTCTGAGACGGTGACATGGGAGCCACTAAGGAGCTAGCTGCAGGAGGATGTTGGGGGAAGGGCGTTCCAAGCAGAGCAAGTAGCAAGTGCAAAGGTCCTGAGTCAGGAACATCAGACTGGGTTCGAGGAACCTCCAGGGCAGCTGGAATGCCAGCAACAAAAGAAACAGTGGCTTGAGATGAGGAAACAAGTAGGGCTGGATGGTTTAGGGCCTGCAAGCCAAGGGAAACCCTTGAACTTTATTTCAAGTGTGATGGAAGGCCCTTCCTTGGAAGGTTTTGAGAAGGGGAATGACGCGATCGGACTGATTTTTCAAGTACCCCGCCTGTTGCCACGTGGGGAATGGACTACAGGGGGGCAGGAGTGGATATAGGGAACCCACCGAGAAGGCAAAAGATGATGGTGGTCTGAACCAGGGTGGAGAAAATGGATGGACTGTTAGAAACGAGACGCACCTGCCCCCCTCCCCAGGTGGGATTCCTTTCTCTGCGATGAGGCATCCTTCTCTGCGGGTGGTATTCGTCCCATCTGTGGTGAATACCAACTTCTTCCAACTTCCCTTCAACTAGAGTGGAATAGGGTGGGCTTCCTGGAGGAGGTTTCAAGGGAGGCTGCTTGGTGATCAGGAGCCAAAGTCTTCTGCCTACCATGTACTCCCTCTCCCTATGTGCACACCCTTTTTAAGTGTACAAATTATTTTCAAACCCATCACCTCATTCAATGCTCACAACAAAGAGGAAAATGAGGCTCAGAGAGGCAAAGAGACCACCCGAGGCCACACAGCATCCAGGTTAGGGTTGGGAAGCAAATCCACAAGCCCAGCGTCTTGCCATCTTGCCTTTCACCCCAGGGGCTGTGACACAGGCAGGATGGTGAGTGCTGGCCCCTTCTTAAGGTAAAATTGAGGCACAGGGAACTAGGTTACATGTCCTGGGCAGGGCCCCACATTTATCAGGCATATTAAAATGCAGCCACATCAAACACCAAATGTAAATTATATATAACCAGATAAAAGCCAAATTGCGTCGACCAGCTGATATCATGTTCTGTTTTGCAGACATTTAATTAAACATTTATTAATTTTGATTCTGCAGTTTTTCCCTGTGTTTTAGAGCCAATTTTTTTCCCAGGACTCCAACGGTTTCCTAGGCCCATGAGAACCTTGCAGCCCCTTGGCAATGAGCGTTTAGTGCCGGCTGGAAGGAACAGTCACGGTTTTGGGTCCTGTTGCCAAAAGAGGCAGAGTGAGGTTGAACCCAGGTCCTCTCATCCCCAGACTGTGCCATGGTCTTCCCACACTGCCCAATGCCACGTTTTTGGGATTCAGAGGCCACCTTTCTTCCCCTCCCCTTCCCTACTCAGCCCACAGCAGCCTTGGGCTGGGTGAGCCCTTTGTCTGCGGTTATCTGGGGCGAGGGGCCCTGGGAGCCAGCCGAGGAGGGGGCAGGAGTGAGCGGGGAGGTGGGCAGGCAGCCTGTCAAGTGCTGATGGATGCTGGCCGGGCCAGGGCCTCCCTCATGCTGACCCGGGCCAGGAAACAGATGGTCCTCCAGCCTGAGAGAAACTTCCAGGGTGTCGCCCTCCCCCCAACTCCCCAGGCCCCTTCACGTTGGACCAGCTGGTCTCTCCTTTCTGTTCAAAGCCAGAGCCACAGGAATGGAGAAGGGGATAGGTCTGGGGGAAGAAGGAGGCTGGAAAAGGTAGTCTGTGTTCTGGGCTCCCCAGAAGCCCTACAGGGCATCCTGGTCTCTCTCGTAGCCCACCCACCACCCTTGGCCGTCTCCTCCTCTGCTCTCTGCCCCTCCTCGGTGCCCTGCCTTAGCTCAGCCTGTCAGCTCAGGCCTGGACCAAACTCCAGCCTCTCCTGGCTTTCCTCCAAGCCAGCCTCCAGAGCGAGCTTTCTAAGCCAGCAAGCTGATCACATCCTCCTGACTGTGGGATAGAATTCAGATTTAAAATAAAAGATGAACTCTTCAGTCCAGAATTTGATGCCCTTCACAATTCCGGTCTTCTATGGCCTTTCCTGTGAAAAGCCATACCTCCAGGCCCTGCAAAGCACTGGCCATTACCCTAAAAGGCCGTGCCCTCTCATGCCTCTCTGCCTTGGCCTTGGCTGGTTCTTCCGCCTGGAATGTCCTTCTCCCTCCTTCCTGCTTTCTAATCCTACCCATGATTTAAAGCTGAGATCAAATGTTTCTTCTTCTGGGCAGCCTTCCCTGATCTCCCCGCTCCAGCTAAAGCTACCCATCTCTTCTCCGGGTACCATAACATCTTAGAGCATCTATTTCAGGTCTTACCTTGTCTCTGTCCCACGGGACTCTGAGATACTTAAGGGCACAGAGCCTGGCATATAACAAGCTATCAAAATATATTTGATACATGAATCTATGCTTCAGGGATCCTTATGGCGGGGGCGATTCAGGGGCCTTAAGAATGGAAAGTACAGGGAAACAAATTTCTGTGCATCAGAAGAAACACAATCCAGGTTTGGAGGTGCTCAGAAGCTCCAAGAGGTGGGGACTCCCCATCCTGGAGAGCACGCAAGCAGAAGGTGTAAACACATGGGGCTGGGATTTGCCGAAGGATTTCTAGCATTGGATGGGAGAGTTAGACCAAGGGGTCTTTGCTTTTGTTGATTCTGCTTCTGAGGGAACAGGCCTCTTCCCCTTCCCAGCTGCTAGTCCCACACTGTGTCATGTTGAAGGTGTTTCTACACCATTGATTTGTGCCTGGAAGACCCAGGGATGGGGAGGAGGGCCCTGAATGGGATGTTTCTAGCCACATTTTGGGGAAGAGAGTTTGAGTCCCAGAATGGTAGCTCTAAAAGGATCTCCAGAGTCATCAAGCCCATCCTTCTTGTTGGCAGATAGAGAAACTGAGGCCCAGAGAGGGCTATGCCATTCCTATGACTGGGATACTCCTTCTGGGAAACTCTGGGTATCAGGTGATCCCAAATTCCAGGGACTACCCTGATGCCTCTCTTGGGCTGGCAACACACAGTTGAATACAGTGGGCCCCCAGGTTCCCAAACAGCATCTTAAAAATGCCAGCGCTTCTCATCTTGTAGTAGACCCACAAACACCTGGTTCTCGGATCTCAGATTCAAGTAACAGGATCACTGAATCTGTGTTGGGATTTTCCTCCCTGATTTCTGGGGAGATAACTTCTGGAGGAGTGCTCTCTAGTTTCAGCAAAGGGTGCGCCTGCCCCATGAATCAGAGAACTCAGGGTTTGCGGGGCCAGGGTCTGTGGCTGCAGCAGGCCGGGGCAGAGCTGCTGAGCAAAGAACGAGGGCAGGGAGGAGTTCTGGGTGGCGGGCCCCTTCTTATCCTACACGGGCACTGCACTTTCCAGGTGCAAAGCATTTTCAAATCCATTTCATCCTTACAGCCACTTTGGGAGGTTTCACTAAGGCTCGGAGAGGGTCTGGCTCGAGGTCACACAATAAATTAGAAGCAAAGTCAGCCCTTGAACTCAGGACTTCAGAATCCCTTCCATACCCCCTACTGGGTGACCAGAGTTCCATTCAATGAAGACAAACTTGCAATCATGCCTGCGTTCACTCTTTGAGCCAACACGGACTGAGCACCCATTGTGTGCTAAGAACTGAGGGTACAGCAGTTAGCGAGCTGCTCTGTCATCCTCACAGAGTTCAGAGTCTGGGGGAGATGGATGAAGAAACAGGCAGTCACAGCCCACTGTGGGTTAGAGAGAGCCTGTGTTGAGTGGTCCCAACCCCAGGTAGAAAGCGGTCAGCAGAGGTTTCCTGGAAAAGGTGACTTTAAAAGCTGGAAACTTGGAAGAAAAGCAGGAGTTACTGGGAATGGGGCTGTAGTGGGGCTGGAGGACAGGGCAGGGGATTCCAGATAGAGGGAACAGCAGGTGCAAACGCCCAGCGGTAAGAGAGAATATTGGGAGCCAAGGTCTGTGGCCTGTGCAGAGCAGCTGGAGCCATAAAGTTTGTTGAGAGAAATGGCTCAAGATGGAGCAGCAAAGTCTCACCTGCCAGGGGACCTATGAGCAGCTTCCCTGTGCCCTATGGAGAAGAACTGGGCACTAAGAGGTGGGGTTGGGGAACAGGCCAGGAAGCTGGGGGTTGAATGCCTGGGTTTGAATCCTGGTTCCACTGCTTCCTAGTTGGGTGACCTTGGACAGGTGGCATACCTCTCTGGGTCTCAGGTTTTCTTGTCTATAAAGTGAGGACAATAGCGGGGCTAGTGGAACCTCAGTGCACTGTCAGGTGTCAGGAATCCTGTGAGAATGATGATGAGAATGCTGAATTAAGGGCCTACTTTGTGCCGGTGCTTTAAGCTAATGAGCACATTCGGAGCTCCTTCGACGACAGTCCCGGAGGCGATCGTTCCGATATGCCCATTTTACAGCCGAGGACACCCGCTCTGCTGGGCGCAGTGAGCGACACCACCCTGCGCACCTGTCCCCCCTCCCCCCCCCCCCGGCCCCCGCCGCCGGGCCGGGGGTGGCTTGAGAGCCGCAAGGGGGAAGCGAGCGCACGGAGGCCTGAGCACGGCGTCCCTCCCGCAGGTACCTGCGCGCTATGTACCTGGGGCTGCAGAGCCGCTGGCGCGGGGAGCGGCTGCGGCGCCACTTCTACTGGCGGATGCTGTTCGAGAGCGCAGACGTGAGCATGCTGCGCCTGCTGGAGACCTTCCTGCGCAGCGCGCCGCAGCTCGTGCTGCAGCTCAGCCTCCTGGTGCACCGCGGCGGCGAGCCGGACCTGCTGCCGGGTGAGCTCCGCCCTCGCGCCCGCCCTCGCCCCAGGGCTTGCTCCTCTAACGCAGTCCGCTGCAGGGGCACCCGCCCACTCTTCCTACCACCCCCACTTCGGCCCACTTGCTGTCGGGGATTTGGAGGCGCCCCTCCTCCTGCTACTCTCACCACCCTCCAGGCCGCTGGAGACCCCCATGTCCCCTCCAGTGGCCCAGTTACCCTCCGTGTCCGGAGGGGCCTGGTCCCTCCACCTCCTTGCCTCCCTTTTGGGACCGCTGGGTGCTCCCGCTCTCCCCCTCCTCCCTTTTCCCTTGCCAGGGCAGAGCAGACCCCATTTCTGCTAAGTCCAAAGAGGCCCTTGACCCCATCGCCGCAGCTCAGACCCTGCCCTTCATTCCCCAAACTGTCCTGATCCCAGATTGCATCCACCAGAGGCACCCCTGGCTCACAGATCTGCTCAGTCACCCTCGGTCTCCAGGGAGCCTGTTTATCTACCCTCTCGTAGTCTTCATTTCCTGGGGACTCCTACCAGGCTTAGCCGGGGTCCCGGCTCTCACCCCCAACCTTGGCCCTCCCCTAACTCTGATAGACCAGGCCAACCCATTCTGTGTCAGAAAAACCCCCCCCCCCCCCCCGGGAGTCCTCCAAGCTTCTCCCACCCAGACACTGTCCATACTACCTTTGATGACCCAAAAGATTCTATCACCCCCTCTCAGGCCCTTCAGGACCCCTTGCCCCGGATACTGGGCCCCAGTCAAAACTTCCCACGCAGATGTCTTCCCATGTCCTCAGCTGTGCTCAGCTTGGATACGCCTCTCCACAACCCAGCTTCACCCTGGTGGCCTGTAGCTACTAACTGTCCCCTCCTGGCTCCTCCATACCCTAATCATGACCACCCAACTCTTCACCTTCTTTCTTGCTCCCAGAATCCTGGACCCTAATTTTCCACTCTCACACCAAGACCCCTGAACCCCGACATCCCTATTCTAGAGACCTGGCCCTGACCCTTATGAAGACCAAAGTCACCCACCTTCCTTCTTCCTTTATGCTCCTCCTCCTGCAGAAGTCCCCAGCCCCATTCACGCTCCCTGCTCCCATCACTGCTCTGGAAGACTGCCCCCCCCCAGACCTTCCCCACAGCCCTGATTTATAGACCCTTCCCTCACACCTCCTCAGAACCCAGCTCCTGACCCAGAACCCTCCCCCTTTCCCCAGACCCCCCACCCCGCCCCCAACCCAGACCCACCCCTAACCCAGCCCACCCCACCCTCACCCTGTCTCTGCAGCCCTGTCCACCTCTGCCTCACTCGTGTCCCTGGCCTGGACGCTGGCCTCCTACCAGAAGGTGCTGCGGGACTCACGGGATGACAAGCGGCCGCTCTCCTACAAGGGCGCTGTGGCCCAGGTGCTGTGGCACCTGTTCACCATCGCAGCCCGCAGCCTGGCCTTCGCGCTCTTCGCCAGCATCTACAAGCTCTACTTCGGCATCTTCATTGTGGCCCACTGGTGCGTCATGACCTTCTGGGTCATCCAGGGCGAGACGGACTTCTGCATGTCCAAGTGGGAAGAGATCATCTACAACATGGTGGTGGGCATCATCTACATCTTCTGCTGGTTCAATGTCAAGGAGGGCCGCAGCCGCCGCCGCATGACCCTCTACTATTGCATCGTGCTGCTGGAGAATGCCGCGCTCACGGGCTTCTGGTACTCCAGCCGCAACTTCTCCACTGACTTCCACTCGCTCATCCTGGTCTGCGTGGTGGCTTCCAGCTTTGCACTGGGCATCTTCTTCATGTGTGTGTACTACTGCCTCCTGCACCCCAATGGGCCCATGCTGGGTCCCCAGATGCCTGGCTGCATCTGCCCGGAGACCCCAGGACCCTGTGGCCCCCCAGCTGATGCTGTCACGAGTCCCCCAAGGTCCCTGCCGAGGACTACAGGTGCCGAGAGGGATGGGGTCTCTGTGGGGGGCGAGCGTGCAGGGACCCCCACGCCACCTGTCTTCCAGGTGCGGCCTGGCTTGCCTCCCACCCCAGTGGCTCGTCCTTTGCGGACAGAAGGGCCTGTCATTCGGATTGACCTGCCCCGGAAGAAGTATCCTGCCTGGGATGCTCATTTTATTGACCGCCGGCTCCGGAAGACCATTCTGGCACTGGAGTACGCCTCTCCTGCCACACCTCGGCTACAGTACCGGAGCGTGGGGACCTCCCAGGAGCTGCTGGAGTATGAGACCTCGGTGTAGGCCACAGTGTCCCCCACCAAGAGGGACAGGCTTGGCTGACCCCACATCAACCACAGTGTTGAGCCCGGAATGTCAGGGCCACCCAGCTAAAGGGGTGTGGATCCATTGGTCCAAGGGTAGAGTGCCCCACCCCTGGGTACTTTCAGGGGAAGGGACAGCTTTGTGGAGGCCTCAGCCCTAGGCCCTGTTTTCAGCCCTGCGGCCCATTTCCTAAACTCCCCTGAACTAGGGCCCAGGGCACCAACTGGTGCTACAGTCCTCATTAGCTGCCCCACTTTCATGAAGGCCTCCACACCACATCTGGTGCCAGGGGCACCCCACACTCTCCCCTGCCGGGAGTCACCCACGTGTTGCTCCCAGTGGACCTGCCAGAGACAGGGAACTGCCTGGGGCCCATGACCTAGGCGCTGTGCTCCTCAGGGGGCATGGGGGGTGGGCTGCTTCTCTGGGGAGAGGAGATCTCTGAGAAGGATGGAGGAGGCCATGGAAGATGTGAGGGAGGTGGGGGCATCTGGTGGACCAGGTTGGTACAGTTCCTGCGGGCTCTGAGGGCCGGATCCTGGGCAAGAAGGGAATGAAAGGCGGGAGTTGGGGCGGGTGGGGAGTTGGGGTGGGAACAGACAGTGCTGTAACTGGAGAGGAGGAAGAACCCTGAGGCAACTGAGGGGTCGAGGCCAGCAGAGGCACAAAGGGATTAGCAGGTCTGGGGGCGGGGTACCCTCAATCCACGGCACAGAGAATGTTCCCAAAGTGAACTCCTCAGGAGACACCCTTTGTTGTAGGCTCTAATATGAATGAGGTTCTGGACACCTCAGGTGAAATGTTTCCAGGAGCCATCCTTTGTTCTAGATGAGAATCTAGAACATTCCTTCTAGATAAAGGTCTTGAATACAACAGATAAAATGTCTAGGAAGCCACTCTGGGCTCAATTATACATGAGGTTCTAACACATTTGACAGAGAAACTGTTCCAGAGAGACATTCTTAACTCTGGATTAAGTTTTAGAACACTTGGCTGATAAAATGTCCTAGGGAGTCCCTCTGATCTGGATTCTGTGATGAAGGCGAAGGCCCTGGAGCCCCGCTATTCTGTTCTGGGAGGTTCTAGCTCCTGCCATGGGGGTGGAGGAAGGGGCTCTAGAGCCCCATGTAAGTGGAGTAGTCTAGAAATGGGTAATCCAGTTCTAGATTTCTCAGATTTATAGTTCTATGCCCCATCCACCTTGGTCCACAGCTATCTTCCCCAGAGGAAATTGTCATCCTAACTCTTGAGACATTTCAACTGCTAACTGGTTTCCAGCTGAAAAAAATTAACTCTGGGGACATGACATAAATCTTGGCTCTCAGCCACCATGCAGATGCAGCTCTCTGAGATAGCAGCTGGAAAACTGGCTTGTTTTGCCTCCGATCTGACAAATCCCTAGGACCAGTAGTCTATTCCCAAACATCGTGGAGTGCCCATGGGACCACTTACCCATAGCCCCTCCTGTCTATCTGGGACAGTGAGTCCTGGGTCCGGCGGCGGTGGGGAGGACAGGAGCAGAGAAGCAGTTGCCTCTGTGGGGTGAGGGGACAGAGCCTGTAAAGAGAACTTGAACCACCCACCATGTCCCTACTTCCCCAGTCATGCCAACTAAGTTGCATTCACTACAAGGGCACATCGGGTAGTATTAAGGACAGCTGCAGACTTGGGCTGGGGGTGAGGAGCCCCATGAGAATCCTAGACTATGCAAATTAGAGAGTCACTTTGCCCTTTCTGGTTCAGACTCCCTTGGGTGACAGATAGGAAAACTGAGGCCCAGCGTGGCTGCTAGTCTCACGGGTCCCAGAATCCTGCTGTTCCATCAGATGGTAATGGGTGATAGTGAATTTACTGAGAATACAAGGTGCCGGGCGACCCCAAAGGCAGAGAGGCCAAGACTGCCCATATACACACATATGCATACATGCAAGTACACATCACACCCGTGACACAAGTAACCTCACCCCTGCCACACAGGTGACTGCATAGACATTCATGTGGGCCCAGATGGTGTGTGTGTCCCTCCCACCAACACACAAAGAATGCTTTTATTGTTTGCTTTCTTCTACTTCCCCAATCCCTAAGAAGCCTCAGAAACCAGGCCTGAGGGAATGGGTGGCAGAGGAGGTCTGGGGTGACCTAGACCTCCTCTGGTGAGTTCACCCAGCCACTTTGTCTTCCGCTCAAGTCTGTCTCCAGAGACTGAATTCCATGGCCAGTTGGGCGTTAAAGCCCTTCGAGAAGCGACAACAGTGGAGAAGCGGACTGAGGTCCGGCTGACAGCTTCTCCCCTAAACTCGCTCCTGCTTGTGACAGCTCAACAAGAGAGCTCTGAGCAACCCAGCTTACAGAGGAGGAAACTGAGGCTCAGACAAGTGACATGAGGGTCAGCCTGGGCAAATTTTACTCCCCTGCATCCTCAAACGGCCCATCTGGCTGCACCATTAGCCAGCATCCTAGAAGGAAAAGTTAGAAATACCCTCCCTGGGATTAGGAGTCCTCACCGCTCCAGAAGGCACCAGAGAACCAGGACATCGGAATGAGCCAGCAGTGCTAAAATGTGGTACAAGGCTCTCAGAGGAACCAGGGCCACATTTTTGACCTTCCTCCATCCCCACCTTCTGTATTTCTCTCCCACAAAACCCACCTTCAGGGCCTCTGTCCCTTCTAGGGACAACCGAGCCCTGGAAATGGCCACAGTCAAGGGCCGTCAGACAGGCCACGGACACCTTCTCCTGCTTTTCACTCCCAGGAAAGAGCTTAGCCTCCAAGGACCACCACCCTTCCACCACCCCCATATGGCCAGGAGCTCAGGACTCCATCCGTTCCTGTCCTTTTAGTCTGCTGGCCTGTCCCCCATTACATCTGGTCCCTGTCAATCCTTTTGTTTCACTGGGATAGAGGAGTCAGAGTGGAGAAGGGGCACCATCTCATTCATGGTTCTTTTTTTTTTTTTTTCCTGTGACACAATCTACCTCAGCCAATCCCTCTCCTCCCTGCCAGAATTGGACCCCTTGGGTCCCTGCCTCCTGCTCCCCATTCTCTGTCCTGCACCCCAGCCTGGCTGCTTAGTCCTTCCCAGAATCCCTAAAGAGTCTTTGCAGTGAGAGAATATTCCAGACCCTTGAGGTCCCCTAAGCTACCTACCCTCCCCATCTATTATAGAGGAGAAACAGAGGCCCAGAGAGAGCCAGGGACTTGCCCAAGATCACACAGAAAGTCAGTGGGAGAGTTAGGCTGAGCAGTAGTTAGGTCCGTCTTAATTTTGCCAGGAAGAAAACAGGACACTAAGTACCAAAATTGCCCTCACTGTCTCTACCCGCAGGAGACATTTCCCCCATTTTCAGGGTGGACTTCTGTCTCCCAGTTTTCTTGAACTGATCCCCCAGCTTGTTGACTGTGCTCCCCAAACCTCTCCAGGCACCACACACCCCTCATCACACCTCCATGCACTGATAAACCATGTGCCTTGTAACTGTCACCCCGACTGGACAGCACAGACCTCCACCCCTCCCAGCAGGGGTTCCCCAACAAGGAAGGCTTTCTTGGTCCCCTCCTCTCATCTGTCCCACCCTGGTGTCTCCCCCCAAATCTGCCTTACCCCCAGCCATCTCCCTGCCCCTCTGAGTCCCACAGAGGTGTGTCACCATAAGAGTCAGGGAAAGCAGAGGCCGGGGAGGGTGAGACCTGGCGAGGGGCCAAGGGGCTGAAGTACTAGGGAAGATTTTACCTTGCAGCCCAACGCTCTTCTCAGGGCTAAAGTCCCTCAGGGCCTGGAACTCACTTGGGCTTGGAGTTCCCAGAAACCTTAGGTAGTGAGGAGGTTTTCCTAGACAGGGGTGTATGGGTTTCAAGTTCAAATGTCTTCAGGTAATGAAAATGAAGGAAGAACAAGTGATATGCCATAGGGAGTGGTGAGGACTCTGGAAAACAGGGCAGTGCCTGCCCCTGCCGATAGGACCTAAAACTGACATTTTTGAAGAACCCTGTGCTGGCCAAACTAATCTCAGATTTGGCCCACGGGCCACCAGTTTGAAATCTCTGGTTCAAAATATTGAGAAGGTTCTAGGAAACCACGCAGATGCTGATAACCCCTCTGGAGAACTCAAGGACAGAGGCCCTGGCTCCCTCTGAGAATTTTTAAAACCCCCACCAACTGACCCCCTGAGAGCTGTCCGTCCTTCCCCCTTCCCCTGAGAAGTGGAAAGGGGAGGGAGCCCTGGGCCTTCACAGGGTCCCTGCCTGGGGAACCATCATCTGATAAGGCCTAGAGGCCCCTCCATGCATGAAGGGAGCAGTTTACAAGCTGGGGTCTTCTCCGGGGTTGGGGCCCCCAGTCAGGAGGAACCTGCAGTGTGTGAAGGGGGAATCCAGGGAGGGGATAAGGAAAACTGAGACCCAGATGCCCCCATCACATGCTGGCCCCTGTCACCCTTTGGCACCTATCTCCCTCCCACATAAGCTGGAGGTAGGGCCTGCTGGAGGAGGAGCCACAAATTTCCATATTGATATGCTTTGTGAGGTCTCATTGAAAGGGACTGGATGAGTACCAAGCCACCTGGGCAGCAGCGGGCATGGTGACTGAGCCCCTTCTCCCTAACAAGACCCTGGCCCTGGGGTGGGGCCAAGGGACTAAAACGTGCCATTCTGGGTGGGGAGGGGCTAGGACATTCCTGGGTCAAGGGGAAGAAGAGCAGGAAATGGTTGAAGTGGGAAAGGAACACCCCTTTCAGGAACTGGTTCCTAGAGGCAGAAAACTCCCCAGTGGGGGAGGGCTGGTCCTCTAATGCCTGGCCCCATCCACCCTTCCCTGATCACAGCAAGGTAGGCGCTGCCCTCTCCCTGGCCTTTTTTCTATGCACAATCATTGTAAGGGCACCTGCAGGCCAGGCAGAAGCGTGAGAGGCCCTTGGGGCACCTGCGAGTGGAGCGTAGCCTGAGACAAAAGCAGAGAAGGGCAGGGGGTAGGAGGTGGAGAA